ACACCAGCAATCTGTATGTTAGACTGCACAGGGAAGCCATTGAAAGCCATAAACTTAAACAAAACTTCAACAGGAAAGAAGAAGGCCTAAAACTAAACACGGCCTGGTGCCCCATTCTTAAAAATACAACCTGCGAAAGGTCAACTGACTCTACCCAGCCACAAAGGCCAGGGATCATTGCACACACAAAAAAAAGACCAGCTAATGACACCCATCAATCTGTGACAGATAATCTCTTCCCCCCTAATTACAACAAAAACATGCTGATCACCCTATCTCCTGAAAAAAGAAAAAAGCCATTCCCACAGCTATAAATACTATCCAACAAACACCAACAGAGCATGGGGTCCCTACTCCAGTCCTCTGAAGATGCCAGCCACAGAGACTGGCGAAACGTCAGGAAGAACAACCTTCAGAACAGGGCCAAAGAGCCCCAAAACCCCACAACAACCATCAAATCAAAGGCCTTTGTGAGATCTATGAAGGGCACAGAGTGTCTGTCACTGTTCGCTACATTTTTCCTGTCTGAGGGAAAATACCATGTCAGTGGTGGATCTATTAGCTTGAAATCCACACTGTGATTCTGGATAGACTCTGTCTACAAGCACCCAGAGTCTCTTCAGCACAACATGGACAAGCAGCTTCCCTACAATGCTGAGAAGAGAGATGCCACGGTAGTTATTGCAGTTGCCCCTGTCACCTTTGTTCTTGTAAAATGTGACAATGTTTGCATCCTTCATGTCCTGTGGTACTCCACTTTCCCTCCAACAAAGACAAAATATTTCATACCGTTCAGTGGTGATGATCTCCTTACAGTACTTCAGCACTTCAACGGGGTTGTTATCCTTCACAGGTGCCTTGCCAGAGGCGAGGGTATCCAAGGCCACTTTTATTTCTGCTAAAGTTGGTTCACTGTCCAACTCTTCCAAGACAGGCAGGCACTCAATGTTATTTAATGCCTCTTCGGTTACTACATTCTCTCTGGAATATAGCTCAGAGTACTGCTGCACCCAGCGGTCTATCTGCTGTGCTCGGTCCTGGATGATCATGCTGTAGCAGACTTCAAAGGAGCAGATTTCTTCTGTATTGGACCTAAAGCCTGCTTGATTCCATCATACATTCCCTTGATGTTACCTGTGTCCGTTCCTATCTGTATCTGAGAGCAGAGCTAAGCCAATAATCATTAGAACATCTCCTTGAGTCTGTTGGACTTTGCTATGAGGAACTCGAAGAGCCTGCAAGTTGTATTCACTAGGAGAGGCTTTGTATGCTGCTAGAGCTCTCCTCTTTTGCTTGATGGCTGGCACCAACTCCTCCGAATGGGCTTCGAACCAGTCTGCTGTCTTTTTGGTCTTCTTGCCAAATATGGACAAGGCGGAGGTATAAACAGCATTCTTGAAATGTTCCCATCGTTCAGGTGCATTTACACCAGCCAGGCCTGGAATTGTTTCCTCAAGCGCTGGAGCAAATTCCTCCACTTTTCTCTGATCGGCAGTCTTGCTGATGTCAATACGTGGTCTTCCTTCCTTTTTTGTATGATACAATCTCTTTATTTGCAGTTGCACTCTGCTACACACCAGGGAGTGATCAGTATCGCAATCAGCACCCTGATAACTGTGTGTGATTGTAATACTAGGAAGGCTAGAGCATCTAGTAAGGATTAAATCGAGCTGATGCCAATGCTTTGATGTTGGATGTCTCCAAGAGACTCTGTGTCAAAGCTTCGTATTAAAGAACGTGTTGCTGACACAAAGACCATAATAACAGCAAAACTCCAGCAAGCGCTGGCCATTTTCGTTCATCTTCCTAATGCCAAAACAGCCTAGACAAGTGGGCCAATAATTGTTATCAGCACCAATTCTAGTGTTAAAGTCTCTGAGAATGAACAGTGGCTCTCTCTCAGGGAGAGAGCCGCCCCGAGTAGACGCTGTCTAGGGGGGCGGGACAGGGTATAAATCGAATGAATAAATAAAATAAATAAATAAATACAATTTTTGATAGTAGCTATAAATAAATTTTTTGATAGTAGCTGCCAGATCATCATAGAATTTGTCTTTGACTTCTGGTGTAGATGACACTGTTGGTGCATATGCTCTAATAAGGGTGACCAGTCCTGCTAATGAGTGGAGCTGCAGAGACAGGATTCTTTCACTCCCTGCAGTAGGTGAAACAATGGATCTCAGCAGAGGATTTTTAACCGCAAAGCCAACACCATATTCCTTGGTCTCATTCAAGTTTTCCCTGCCAGAAGAATGAGAATTTTTTTTGTTTGACAGATCCCGAGTCTGGCAATCTCTGACCAAGAGATTTATCTGACCAAGAGATTTAGATTGGCTGTTTTTATTTGGTGATTGATTATCAAGAGATAAACCTCAGACTTTATTTAGAAGTTGATTGTGCAGAAAAGACCAATTTGAAAGAACGTACCTCTGGAAAGATAACATATGATTTCTTTCTAATTGCAAAGCTGCTGTCTTGTATTGTTAGGCCTGGGGAAAATAATATTCTGTCTCAGGCTTCAAATATGCTCCTATTTTGACTGTCCTTACTGTTAGACAGAGTAAGGCAGCTGAATCCTAAGGGATAAGGAATGGTACAAAGTTATTGGAAGATATCCACTATGCACTCAAAGTTCATATAGAACTTCATTTGAATGTCTAGAGCTTTCTTTTATCTCATAATATCTTGGCATCTTATGCAGTTGTTATGAGTTCAACATCATTATTTCTAAAAAGATTCGCCATAAAACTGACGCAAAGGTGTGATCAGATGGACATTTGTCCGCAGTTTGGTCTGGGTTTGGAACAGGCTGGTTCACTCCTTTTCTCAAATGATGTACATGCCATCGCAAACTATTTTGGCCCTGACCAATGCCTTTTCGGGTCCCTTTGGAGGGCTACTAGTTCGTGGAAGGGTTTTTTTTTGGGGGGGGGAATCACTGCATTTTGGTCAGTGTGCGATCACTGAGATCAAACCAAAACAGCTGTCTGATTGTCCCTTGACAAAGCCACCTAACAATCTTGAGAAGCAGGAATCTTCCTGACTGCTTGTTTTAGTAGTTGCTAATGCATTGACAATGCTTTCTAAGCCCTTTCAAAACATTGCTGATGCTCTGTGTCAATGAGCAACAGTTCAAAAGGAAGAGAAAGCTTCATTACCCTTCCCCACCACAGACAAGCAGCAAGGAAGCTTCCCATTTCAGAAGATTGTTAAGCAACCTAGGCAAAGCATAGGGGAGGAAACAGTAAAGGGAAAGAAGATTAGTCTAGGTTGTGTTGAACAGGGTTCCTTGAAGAGCAGCGTGGTCGGTCTTTACATGTCAATGCAATGATCACCTCAATGACATACCAGACCTGAAAGCAGCCTCGTTTAGCACTATCTGGACAATCCAGGCAGGGATAACTGGCCACCTAGTCACACTCTGATTTATTGGGTGGATGGAAAAATCTTATGCTGATGCCAAGGAGAAGAAGGCTGTTCTATAAATTGGTGTTCAGCTTCTTCAGAGTCATCCACATCACTACTAGGTACACTTTGAGAGCAGTGTCTGAGGAAGATCTTAAGGTTCAAGCAATTGCATGTTATTAAATGGGGATGTGATTTAACCAAAGCTATACTGTTTAATTCTGTCCATTCCAATGGGAGAGTTTAGTAAATTGAAACCACTGGGAAATGTCACTATCTGTATGGTCTCTGATACTTCTCATGACTAATATACATACAATGTCTGTATTATAAAATAAATGAGTGCATTTCTGTCTCTCCATAGGTACATGGCTACGCCCCTTTTCTACCAAGTTCACAGAACCACAAACGTTCTATATAGACAATTACAGGACTGTCCGAGTCCCAATGATGTTCAAGACTGACAGGGTAGCTGCTACGTTTGATAAGAACTTACGGTGTGTCGTCTTGAAGCTGCCGTACCGAGGGAGTGCACACATGCTGATTGCGATGCCTGGGAAGAATGCTGATTATATGTCCCTCGAAGACCATTTAACAAATGAACTTGTGGAATCTTGGCTTAAAACCATGGAAATAAGGTACAACTTGTGTTAAGAACATTATGATTTTTATTGCTAAGTTACCAGATTCCATTTGGGTGCCAGTCAGAATAGCTGTTCAAAGGGGAACTTGGGAATGGAAAGAAATAGCCTGCGAAATTTACCTTTTCTGCCAAGGCAAGCTGTTTATGTTAACTCGTGGAAAACAGTCTGATGTTGGTACGCAAACCCTAACCAAACAATATTAGAATTATGGAGTTGGGAGAAACTCTGTCTAGTCCCATTTCCTGTCTATTAAAGAAATCCACTACTATAGTACCCCTGATGGGAGGCCATCAAGAACCAATTTAAAAATATTTAAGGAAGACTAATCTACCGCTTCCTTAGAAATTCTGTTCTAGGGGCTTAGAGCATCCGAAAGTTTTTCCTGAAGTTTATTCAAAATCACCTTTCCTGTAACCTGAATCCATTAGTCTAGGCCTGGAGCAAATTTATTCCATCATCTACGTACATCGTCTCGTAATGAGAGTCCTTCAAAAAATTGAAGATTTATTTATTTATTCCATTTATACCCCGCCTATCTGGTCATTGCGACCACTCTAGGCGGCTTACAACACAAAATACAAAACAAGCATAAAAAAAGGAATTCTTACAAAATTAGAAAATTCTACAAGATGGGGAACAAACAAAATAAATCATAATAGAGAAAAAAGGAAAGAAAATCAGGAATTAACTAAGGGAGTTAACTGGGGGGGGGGGAAGGCCTGCCTAAACATCCACGGTTTTAGTTGGTTTTTGAAAATATCCAGCAAGGGAGCCGCGTGAATCTCCGGAGGCAGATTGTTCCAGAGGCGAGGAGCCACCGCCGAGAAGGCCCGGTTTCTTGTTTTTTCTTTCTGGGCCTCCCTCAGTGTCAGGCTCCTCAGCCTCACCTCCTGACTCACACGAGTGACACGGGTAGAACTAGGTGGGAGTAAGCGTTCCGCCAAGTATCGAGGCCCTAAACCGTTTAGGGCTTTATACGTAAGCATCAAGACTTTGAAGTCAACGTGGAGCCGAATGGGCAGCCAATGCAGCACAGCCAAAATAGGAGAAATGTGGTGGTATTTTCTTGCACCGCTAAGAAGTCTGGCCACCGCATTCTGCACCACTTGGAGTTTCCGTGTCAACTTCAAAGGTAGCCCCACATAGAGTGCAGAAAGATAGCTTTCTATCACCTCTTAATTACCTCTTCCCATGGGAGAAAATATACAACTCCCACAACTTTCCTCCACAAGACTAAGTCTCAATGCTCTTTACCATCTTTATATTATTAAGCTCACACTTTGCACTGTATCCCAAGATGCTAGGAGCCATTAGTGCTGAAACCGCACCCATGGCCTACAAACAAATTTTCCTTCTGGTTTGTAGACAATGTCCAGAATTTCCATTCAATGTGTACGACAGCCAATCTTTCATGTGTCTCCTTCATTAAATTAATTTTCCTGTTTTATTCTTTTGCTCTACAGGAAAAGAGACATTTATTTCCCAAAGTTCAAACTAGATCAGACATATCATATGGATCGATTGCTTCAAGATCTGGGTATTAAAGACCTTTTTTCTTACAAGGCAGACCTGAGTCAACTGACTGATGAGAGATATGTTAAACTATCACAGGTAAATATGATCTCCTGTCCTGCAAAAACCTTCTCAAGAAGTAGCAGTGGTTTAATGTCCCAAAAATGGGGATCTGTTGGAATAAATGTGTTTGATATTGCATTTACAGAGTGCAGTGGGGCAATGCTGACCTCATAACTATTAAAAAAGAGTGACTACATCAGCTATTTATACTATAGTAAAAATACAAAAAGTATTGCTTTCAGAAATTCACTAAAAAACACAACACCTTACATTTGCTTATCAAAGCCCCTAAATTATGAATAAGTGAACCTGCCTCTTGCAAGTTAGGAAAGAGAGGAAGTAGTAAATTAGCTTAGAGAAAAGGAGGAAAGAAGCATTCAATCTATTCAATCTACACGAAGATCTAGAAAAGAGGAATAACATACATAGGCTATCTGACCATCTGCTGACTCCCCCATCTCCCCACATCAGGTCATTTTTTATTATTGTTGGTGCTCTATTTCAACCTCAAACAGGAAGTTGGCACTATTTGAGCAGTCCAGATGTTTAGGAGTACAAATCAAGTCCAAGACTAAGTAACTGATGGTGACAATAAGATTTGTTGTACAAACTATCTGGAGGGTATATCTGGTCTAGACAATCTCAGTCACCCATTTGGAAGCCACAGAAGAGAACAGAAGTCAAAATTCCACAGCTTAGCAACAGATGAGTTTGGCAATGAGATGATGATTGCATTGGTTTGGTGGCATTTGCATGTCTTTGATTGACCTAAGCTTTCTGTTTTGGTGTTTTGGGTTTTTTTCTTTAATGACCTTTGAAGGATCCTATCCAAAAAGATGACCTGTGTGCACTCATCATTGGAACAGAATAAACAAATCATATCAGTTTCCTAATTGGGAAGTTCCAGAGACAGACATTCCATTAACTGCATGAATGCAATTATAAACCTGCTATTCATATTCTAGAGGACGTTCCCCAACTTATTTCAATAATTTTGAAGCTGTTCAAGCCTCCCTTGTGGCTTCTGTTTCGATGACAAAAATGCACACACTAATTGCTTGTGCAAACTTCTTGGTACTCTACATATCAGGTAATGGGGATTTAGGTAGTTGACCTGAAAATTTTCCAGCAGACTGGCAGTTCTATATATTGGATGATTTTTATTTTTACTAGTGTTTTCCACCAATATATCCAACTCATAATTTCCTGGATTTCCCCTGTATAACCTTGTAAAACTTGCTATTAAATTAGCTACCTTAGGGATGAGTTACATTTTTTTTGTGAGAAAAACTGCCATTTCCCTTCTGAGCTCTTCAGCAGTTTCCAGACTTGAAAATCCAGCAAGAAGCTACTGCAAGTTGCACCAGTTGCTTTCCAGAGCTGCAGCTATGTAATATGACTTTGGCCATTGACTTATTAATTTTAAATTAATTACCCTTGAAAGTAATTTCCTATTATCATTGTTGACCTCATTTCTCCCTATTCCACTCCTGGATGGAAAACAAAAGCAAATCATTTTAAATCTCAGCTCTACATCTTCTGTGACAAAGGGAGACAAAAGGAATTCACTCAGCTTCTCCACAATATCCTTATCCTTCTACGTCCATTTAACTCTCATCATCCAAAGGTCCAGTTAATTCATTTTCTGACATATTTAAAGAATACAGTATTTGGTATCAATCATAATGTACATAAATCATGTGATCCTTTCTTCATTCGCTTTCTCTTACACATCCCTCATTAAATTCATTTGCTAATCTCTATATCATTTTACATTCTCTTCATTCAGGGAAGACACCAGTTTTTCAAAAAAATTGTTACCCATGAAAGCAAACTTATCTCTTAACTACATAGTATAAGTTCTAGCTGAGCCAATAATGTGGTTTTGAATCATGCCCATGTTCTAGAGCAGTGGTTCCCAACCTTGGGTAACCCTGGTGTTCTTGGACTGCAATGCCCAGAACCACTGCTCTAGAGGGATTTGATCCCCTTGGCTTTCCATTTCGACTTCTTCTCAGTCCCCTCATTTTAGAGAAGTTACCTCTTTTGAAGTCAACTGTGAGCGACAGAATTTGGGGGCTGTCATTAGGTGTGTCATCATTACATCCACAGCAGCACAGAACTGGTCATTGTAGACATGAGCCAGTAAGTCAGGGGTGGGCAAATAATTTCTATAGGGGGCCACATGAAAAGTCTGAACTGTGTTCCGGGGTGGGTAATAATAGGCCCCCATTGGGTGAGGCCCTGTGTTGAATGAACTACAAGGCTGACATAGTTAACTCCCTAAACTTTTTAGAGAGTTAACTATGTGAGTTTCTATAGGGGGCCACATGAAAAGTCTGAACTGTGTTCCGGGGTGGGTAGTAATAGGCCCCCATTGGGTGAGGCCCTGTGGTGAATGAACTACAAGGCTGACATAGTTAACCCCCTAAACTTTTTAGAGAGTTAACTATATGAGCATTGTAATTCGTTCACCGCGGGGGGGGGCAACACTGAGCAAACTCACCCGTTCTCTATTCCTCCACGGCCGTCCTCTCTGTCTTCTACCCTGTGCAGGCGACATGATGTGCCTGCGCAAGGATCGCTTCCACCCTCTTGAGCCGCAAGCTCTGCAGCCTGCGGCTCAAGAGTAACAGTCAAAACTCACGAGATCCCAGCGTCGGATCTAGCAAGTTTTGCTTACTGCCGTACTGGGTGACCAGAGCCGGAGGTCTCGCTGACTCAGCGGCAACGGGCAGGCTGGACTGGAGCGACGACCGGTGGGCCGGACAGGAGCGGCTTTCGGGCCATATGTGGCCCGTGGGCTGCCCTTTGCCCAGGTCTGCATTAAGCTATTTCTGCAAGAGCCAGACTAGAATGCTGTGTTCATGTTCATTTCCAAGAAGTTAAACAACAATCAGTGGAAAAAACAGGAATGATGAAAAGTCAGAAATGTTGTCAAGGAATTTGTACATTTTCCTGCAAATCCTCATATATTGCCATCCTCCTTAGGTACTCCAAAGAGCTGTTATTGAAGTGGATGAGATAGGAACTGAAGCTGCAGCTGCCACTGGATCAGAAATCATGGCATACTCCTTGCCTCCTACCATCCGAGTGAATCGTCCGTTCCTATTTATGATTTATGAAGAGATGTCAAATGCCTTGCTCTTTGTGGGCAGAGTTATCAACCCAACAGAGCTGTGAATAAAACTCACATATTTCTGTTTTGCATTAAATTATATCCATTCTGGAGTTAGAAGAAAAGCTGTTTGTGGAAAACAGAAGATATTCCTGTTTGAAAGCAAAAAGGGGATGGAGCAAGTAATTCTGGAACCAGAAGCAGAAAATATTACTAAAAGTTTCTCTGATCCCTTTAATAATAATAAGCAATGCATTCCTATGAATGTGTATTCAGATGTACATTCTACTGCGCTACGTATGCTTTCTTCCAGATTCACAGCCTACGTAAATGTTGCCCTTTCGTTAACCTTTTATAATATCAAAAATAAACTGTCCAAAAGTGTCATATCTCTGTGCCTAGTGGTAGGTCTGGCCTGGATTTCCAGGCAGAGCTTAGACTCTCTGTTCCACCTACAAATCCAGTATGGAGGATGAGTAATGTAGATAGTTGCATGAACCGCTCTGCCATCTGCTTCTAAAAGAATGATAGAGGGGGCAGGATCTTCCTGACCCACAAGGATTACCAGAATTTGCTACACCTATTGCTATGGTGTTGTAGGAACTTATTGTCCTATTATTAGTATGACAACACTAATATGTCCTCTTATTAACAGCCTGCAAAATTAAATTGTAAACTGCCCAGAGAGTGATATATCACAAGAACAGCACACTTTAGTATTGTTGAATAAAAAAGTGACTGTTCAGTTGTTTATTATTTACATTTATATCTCACCACTCCTTTAATAAGCTCATACATGGCTCTGTTCCTCCCCAGTATTCTCACACTAAGCCAGTGAGGTAGATCAGCTGTGCATAGGTGGCTCTTCACATTCCTTTCAACTGGCTTGCTCCAGATCAGCATCAAGACCTCACATGCACTGATCCTATGCCTTTCACTCAGCTGCACTGCCACAGAGGGATTTTCCAGCAGCGAAATAGTGTTGCACCAGATTTTCACAAGATTTAGTATACTCTGAGCAGAGGCTAGTTTCACATGCATTTGCAATGATTTACCCCTTTCTACCACTTCCATGATAGTCTGCAGTCCTTATTCCATTCCTCCTCCTCCATTTCTGCTGCTGCTTGCATTTGTCCCCTAGGAAAATCCAAAAGCTCCAGTGTGGGTCCTTTTATGCCCTCAGGGTATTGAACTGTGCAGCAGGAATGGCTGAGGTTCATTTTCATAGCCTTTCCTTTTCTCTGTTCAAAACTGTTGATTCCAGTATTGCACCCCAGTCCCCATAGAATCATAGAATAATGGACTTGAAAGTGGCCTATAAGGCCAGCGAGTCCAATCCCCTGCTCAACGCAGGAATCCAAATCAAAGTATATCTGACAGATGGCTGTCTTATTTGCTCTTGAATGCCTCCTGCATTGGAGGGCTCACCACCTCTCAAGCTAATCGGGCTTTGAACAGAGCCAAATGTTCATCACAGTTCATGGCACTGCCTGTCCAATTGTGAACTGATATTTCATTCAACTTTTCATTCCATTTCTATATGTCTGACAAAGTGCATGTGTTCACAAAAGCTCACATGAAATATTATAGTTAGTGTATGTCCTCTGAAGATGCCAACACAGAGTGCTGCCCTCTGAAGATGCCGGCCAGAGAGACTGGCAAAACGTTAGGAAGAACCACCTTCAGAACATGGCCAAAGAGCCTGAAAAACCCACAACAACCACTATAGTTAGTCTTTACGGTGCCATATGTCTTGTCTTGTTTCTTTAGATTTTACCTGATATATTACATACACCACAGAATTATCAGTTATGCTACATTGGGGTTAGTTCTTACAAAGCAGCTGCTGCTGTATTAAATATAAGATTAGTCTTCCTATGCCTTTATATTTCAATTAAAATTAAAATTTGCAAAGATTAGATCTCTCCCACCCAACACATGCAAGTACTTCAATGTCCTACGTTTTATTGTGCGCAAAGCATTCATTATTTCACATTGTAAAAATTAACCACACACATATTCATTCACAAATTAGATCATCTTTATCATACACCAATAAATCTTAAAAAACAGATTTCTGATATCAATATAGTTTTGCTGATTGCATTTGTGAAATAGAGAAGCTGACAATAGCTTCATACAGTCTCTCAAGTATTGGCATAAATAGAACTTTTTAAATAGAACTGCATGTTGCAGGCAAATTTTGATAGAAACATTAGCATGAATATAAACAAAATGCTCTGGATGTAGCTAAAAGCATGATAACTTGAAATAACAACTAATTAAAAACTAGATTCATCATTTCTAAAGTGTTGGATAAAGAGAAGCTGCAACCTGAAATACTAGAAGTTAAAACAAAGTATTTATACAACAAAATTGTGATATGAAACTGATGAAATCATTTATATGCTTTTTGGAGGTATTCTTATTAAAAGGTGGAACAAAATCCACTTTGGATTTTTATACACCAGATAAGCAATCTTATTTAAAATTACAGCACAACTGGATTTTAGATCATTATACTTCATGTTTCTTTGTCCATGCTTCCAGGCTCTCTTAAAGCTTCTTTGATATTTAAAAGCTTTTTTGAGAGAGAGAAAGTGTCATATGTTCAGTTAATCCTATATGCAGAGCAGCTTCATAAATATGGTCCTAGGTCCATAGCAAAGGCATATTAGGAGCCCCTAAGCTCATAAATAGGTATATTTTAAAGTAGAGGGCACTTGTATTCCAAATCAAAAAACCTGAACTGTTAAAAGGCATAATTGAGAAAGGGCAAGGTAGGGGAAAGGAACCCTGTCTCTTTAGCTGCAACAGTTTTAAGCACAGAGCTAAAATAACACTGAATTAAACACTTCACTTATGACATTGGAATTCTGCACATATTACATTATTTCTATGAAGATATTTTACAACATAGGAGTTTATTTAACTGACAGAAGATGTTAACATGATAAGATGCAGTTAGTCTCCCCTCTTCGGTCCATACATTCAAGGTTGTACTCAAGCTTCTCCCAAGTCTTCAGCCATGTTGCGCCCGGCGGTCTTTGGTGTGCCTCCTTTCCTTCACCATCTCTATGAGTTTGACTTCCTGTTCTTTCTTTAAATAAAGAAAAAGAATGTAATCATATTCTGTAAGACTGGAACAGAACTAAACATAATTGATAAAAGCCACTGCGTTTTCACAGAGAAAACAAAAATCTTCATGCAGTACACAGTGAGAGTTTCACAGGGTCTTGGAAATCCTAAACATCCTGCTTCTAAGTAACATACCCCAAGTATTTCTCATCTCTTGTTATTCTTAGTAAGTGAGAGCCCTGTTTATCACTCGGCAGGAAGGACATAAAAGTGCCATGAAGTGCTATCTTCTCCTCATGACCAGGTGTTTCCCAGCATCCACTGTGACCATGTCAATGTTGCCTTGGCCTGTAGCCAACCTGGGACTGGGCTACTTGGAGAGTGGGACTCCCTGCAGGTGGACCTCAGAGGTCAGGTTTCCACTTAGGTCTGCTAGGGAGATATTTATGAGCCTCCCTGCCCCTCTCCAGCTGAATCTTTGCTTTGTCTTCATTCACCCGTCCTTCAAAAGCACCGTTTGGCAGGCAGCCACATAAAGTGAGAATTTGGGCAGATACATTCTGTCTTATGCTGTATATTTATACCTCTGAATACTCCTGAGATCACTTGCTTTGTCTCAGCTTTGAACATAGGAACAGATTCAGATTGGGAAAATAGGGGTCAGGGATCCTGTGAGGGATCTTGGGGTGAAGGCTAGCTTGGGAGGAGGGTGCTCTGGTCTCCATGACAGATGGCAGCAGATCCCACTTGATGGTTTTGTGCCTGAACTGGGTATCCTATATACTGTTATTCCACAGGATACTTAGCCAGAGGGTTAGGGATACATCAGTTGGCAACAGGTTGTCTGGAGTCGTTATACAGTTTCTTATGTATGCAAAGTCAATGCTAACGTCTGCTGTAACCACTAGAGCCATGGCCATTTATTTATCCACCTTTTCAATAACTGTGTGTGGCATCTTTTGTTAAGGAGTTAAGGATTGTGCCCTGAGCATCCAACCGTGTCCCAATAAGACACAGGAATAGCATATTACTGTCTCTGACCCAGACCTCAAAGAACCACTTTAGAATTCAGTTCAGGTTCATGTGTGACTGAGAGGGACATGGTGGCACTGCAGGTTAAACCACAGAAGCCTCTGTGCTGCAAGGTCAGAAGAGTCATAACATCGAATCCACGCGACAGAATGGAGCTCCCGTCACTAGTCCCAGCTCCTGCCAACCTAGCAGTTCAAAAGCATGCAAATGCAAGTAGATAAATAGGTACCACTCTGATAGGAAAGTAACAGCGCTCCGTGTCTAGTCGTGCTGGCCACGTGACCACGGAACATTGTCTTCAGACAAACACTAGCTCTATGGGTTGGAAATGGAGATGAGCACCACCCCCTAGAGTTGGACACAACTGGACAAATTGTCAAGGGGAACCTTTACCTTCATGTGTGACTGAGGGCTCAATCCTAACAAGCCAAAATCGCTGAGACCTGACTGAACTGACATGATGCCAGCTGACACTAGGTTGATTCAAATCTCTGGCGAGTTTAGGGATGTTGGAAATTAATTACAACTGCCTTGACTCTGGCCTAACTTAATGACATCATGCTGCCTTGACCCTAACTTGGTATCATTATAATGATGGTGACTGAGCTCAGAGGGGTTTGGAGCTGGATCCCCTTCTCTACCCTTGCTTGGTTCTTCTGCCAGATTATCTCATAGAGCACAGAGGTTGTCCCAGCAAGGCTGGGCAGCATAAGAGGATTGTGCTAGCACAAAAGGCTTCTGTACAAACACACTACATCTAGCACTTCTTTGAGTCTGACTGCACTGCTGGTCAGTCTATGGCTCTGGTAACATACTTTGTTCCAAAGGAGTGCCATTCTGTTTAGAACACTAGCCATGAAAAATCTGTCAAATAAGACTGAACTCAGCTCATAGTCCACTGTGAAAAACTATGGCATGGCAGTGAAATGACTAAGAAAGATCTTGTCTTTACCAAGGCAAGGTCTTTTCCGCTTGCTGTCATCTGGTTAACCATTTCAAGTACTCCACGGACTACTGTTTTTGCTCCTGTAACATGAAGGCTGACATCTTGGCAGCCCTCAAGGACTTATTTTTCTAAACTCTTTGACTAGGGTCCAAGTAATTGCAAATCTAGTTCTGCATGTCTGAGAGGACTGTTTCCTGAACAACAGCTGTTATATCATGAGTAGAGATGGGGACAAATCGGAAAAAAAATTGATGCTTTGTCAGGATTTGTCATTCATCAAAGTTGACGAATAGATGATGTGACAAAGCACCAAATTTTAGCATTGAATCAGGAAATATTCCTCGATATGCTGTTAAAACACAATGTTCTGCTGAATAGATGATCGGTGGGACATTAACAAGCAAGCTGGATAGGGAGCAGAACTGTTTTCTGTCCCCACAGCCAGCCTGCTTTTCAATGTCCCACAATGACAAGCAGGTTGGCTGCAGGAACTGAATCTGGGGTTTGTCTTCTGGGAGCCAGCCTGCTTGTCAATGATGTCATTGACAAGCAGGTTGACTGTGGGAACTGAGCCTGGGGTTTGCATTCCTGCCTGCTTTTCAGTGATCCCACAATCAGCTGATTGTAGGGACATTGACAAGCAGGCTGGCTGTGGAATGGAAACCCAGGGTTTGCCTGCCAGCAGCCAGCCTCCTTGTCAATGTCCCACTGATCAGCTGATTGTTGGGACACTGACAAGCAGGCTGGCTGCCGGAAAGCAAACCCCATTTCCATTCTGCAGCCAGCCTGCGCAAAGCGTCAAATAAAAATGGGTAAATATTTGTCCCTTTGTATTCATCAGGGTCTCTGGATACAAAGGGATGAATATCTAGTCACAAGTATTTCACAAATATCACAATTTGATTTTTTTATTCGTCCCCATGTCTAATCATGAGTCAAAATGCTTTTGAAATTGAAGAGGCTTAAAGAAGAAGCCATTTTGTGACATGGCACTGGTGAGGAAGAGGTTTTTTTTAAGTTGACAATCCACATGGACATGTTCAGGCCCTTAGGTGTCAAAATCAGCTTGTTATGTTTATGTGTTCACCAATTATTTTTATTCTCTTTTTATATCTGTCTCTTACCACCACCACTTTATACCAACATGCCTCCAACATGTTACGTATACAGTCTACTCTTACATTGTAGTGTAATTATAAGTAGTGTAATTCAAGTTATTTGGCTGTGTACTCTGGAAATACAAGATTGCAAGGGGTTTTTTTCTGTTTTAATTGTGCCTTTGGCCATATCATGCTTCTATTAATTGAGTGGAAGATGTGGTATGAAGAAAACCATTTTCCTTATACCAAGAAATCAAGCATAACCCAATCCCATTGTGCTTAGCATATGCTGAACAATATGTATCTCAGGGGTATTATATGAAAAGCAACATTATCGATCACTTACATGTGAACATCTGTTCTGAATTCTACTTAAAGATACATACCTTCTGGGAAATGATATTCGTTTCCTGGAATTAATTAGAATGTTGCTATGTACTTCAGTATTGTATGCCCATGTGGTAAATTATTACACATGTTCTCACCCCAACCCACATTTCAGTGATTCATTTTACAAAGCAAGGACACCTGATTCCGTTCTAGATACATATTTGAATATGTTGCTATGTAGGAGGGTAAGCATAAGCTATTATGTTGAAAGAAAATTTCTAAAGCTCTCCACAATGAGCAGACACACATAAGGATAATAAAACCAAACCCAGCATAACAGCATAATAGTAGCAGAACAGTTTCTTTTGTTATTCCTAGTGTTTATGATTCACATATGCTGTCTATTCTAGGATGACTCATTCAACTCTGTGTATTTGCTAGCATAAGTTTGGTTTCAGCATTTACTGGATGAATTCCTTCCATATTCTACAATATACTATAAATGAAATTTATTGATCTACAGGAACTGAGGTCTAATTCAGATATCTGGGGATTCTCACTGCAATGAACTGAGCAACAGTAAAACATACTCTGAAGTGCAATACTAGTACAGTGGTGCCCCGCATAGCGAGGTTAATCCGTTCCGGATTAACCATCGCTATGGGGAAACATCGCTATACGGAACAGAAAACGCCACAGAAACGCATTAAACTTAGTTTATTGCGTTCCTATGGCTCTAAAACTCACTGTTGTGCGAAGTTTCCCCATAGCGCCGCCATTTTTGCGCCCTCGGTAAGCAAAGGCAGGGCACGAAAACAATGCGGGCGGCCATTTTGGAACCGCCAAACAGCTGATTCCCCGACATCGCAATGCAAAGATCGGTAAGTGAAACGCTTACCGATCGTCGCAATGCGAGTTTTGCCCATTGGAACCATCAGTATGCGATTGCATTAGCGATCCCAAAAGAGGGGTCACTATGCAAATTCATTGTTAAACAGTGCGTCGTTAAACTCATTATGCAAGGCACCACTGTATACTGATTTCCAAGTGAAATTTATATATAACCAGAAAATCCAGATTAAAGGAGATATAAGATTTTAAAATCCCATAATTCTCTGGTCCATGATTCCACAGCATTCACTAAATATAACAGTTTATTTAGATGCAGCTGCATGCAGTGTAGCTAAAGTACACATATGTATCAACGTTCCTATAAGAAACCTGAATGTACTACAAATTTTGTTAAGATGTCCCTTCCTCAATCATAAGATTACTATTCCTGTGGTTTGGCTAGAAAGAGGAAATTCCACTTAGTAGTGTAGAGCTCTCTTTCCTATCTATAATTAATTATGTGCTGTCAAGTCAGTTCAGACTTAAGGTGACCCTATCCAGGATTTTCTAGGTAACCAGAACTCAGTAGTGGTTTAGCATTCCCCTTTCTTCTGGGGACACTTTGGGACTGTGCAAATTGCCCAAGGAGACACAGGCTAGTTCGTCTTTCAGAAAGCATTGTGGGGAATTGAATTCCTAACCTCATACCCTACTCTCTAAGCTATCCAGCCAGCCAGCTCTTTCTCTCTACACAGCATGTCTCTACAATCTTGGAACTTTCAGTACACACCTCATTCTAGCACTCATGTTTACCTGCCAGTCAACATTCTAACTTTTGTACCCAGAAAAAGGCCATTATTCTTGTTATATGGAAGCTCCCCTCCCAATCAACAAAGTAGCCCTATTTAGACATTACAGAAACTGGCATTATCAAAATACTTAGCTCTAGACCCATCTCCTCCACCACCACCTTCTTCAAGCTTTCAAAGCCAAGTTTGAAGGGAAATTCCTGCTTGCACATAGGCTCTCAATGTGAGCAAGAATCTAGATTTTCCAGAGCTTGCTTTCGTGTACAGCCTACATGTGAGTAGGAATCTCTCCTCTTCAGACTTACCATTGCCCATGTGAAGAAAAGAATGATGGGAGCAGGGCTAGGTACTTCTAAATTTGTTGACAACACTGGATTCTATAATGTCTGTATAATATTAAAATGTACAAATTCCACAATGAAAATTTTTGAAATAATGAAGAAGATTCTGTTCCAAACTGACAGTGCAACAATTGTGAATCCATGTCTACCTGTTTCACTTTAGCCTGATCATGCAATTGTGATTAACAAAATGATTGTACATAATTATTTTACTCTCTCTCTCCCCCCCCTCCCCACACACACATTCTGGAAATGTCAATGCTGACAGTATTCCTTTGGTTCATTCATTCTTAAACAAATCAAAAAGTTAAGAATGCAAAATTAACTTCTTGGTTTATAAACTACATAGCTTTAAATTTTCCCCTAACATAACTTGATCACTTACAAGCTAACCTTCCGTGAATGGCTTTCTTTACTCCCATTGCTCTTCTGATCAACTGAGTTATTCATATGCCGAGATGAAGAGGGCAAAGTGGAAGTAGAGGAAAAGGTGGCAGCCCCACTGGAATTGCTAGAACGAGTGCGGAAGGAATCATCTGAAAGACGAGTAAAGCTTAGTCAGAAAACAGATGCATGCTAGTATTATTAAGAAAGCTGTACATTTGATATTTCAGTGTATGGGCTCTTCACAGATAGCACTGTAGGTGTGCTTATGTATCTCATGCAGCTACAACAGAACTAAGGAAAAAAGGCCCTTAATGTTTTGGGGCCCAGCAGAAAGCCACCAGAAGAACTGTGGCAAAAATATATTTCAAAAGTAACTAAACTACTTACCTGTAAATGAGTACATAGAACTCTTTCCTACTCCTGATACAGAAGTATATCCTGTTGAAGAACTTTTGCTGAAAGGATATAAAAATCAGTAATGATATTTTTAGGCATAACCCTATTTAATAAAGGGAAACTTTCCCCATACCCCCAGTTCATCTCATTTCAAAAAAAGGCTCAACTAAAATGAATTATCCCACCTCTGTGGAAAATAACCAGCATGATTCCATTTTGAAGTTTAAGGCCTACTACACTACTGATGTCATAATCTGGAAAATGAATCGTTCCGAGCACCATTTCTAAATTTTCACCATGGACCGTCCACAATTTCTATTACCATTTCTTTCCCTCTGCACAAAAATTGCCTGGTGGACGCATGACAAAAAAGGCTGGCAGAAGGGCATTATTTACTAGTTGTTTTTTTAAAAAAAACACCTGTCTTTCTCTCCAAAGAACTTCAGGGCAGCTTAAAACACAACAGGGAAGACACACCAAAGAAAATAATTAAGAACAGAATAAAATAAAATAAAATAATGTACATTTTTCTAATGAGGAAAAATGGGGCCAGAGAAACTCAGCTAAATGACGGTGCAATGGTACAGAAGAGCATTAATTGCCTCTCAAGTGCCCTTAATAAGGGAGCCAACTTTGGGTTAAAGATTTTTACAGAACAGGTAAGACCACAGAGAAAGCCACATCCCAGATCCCAACCAAAGACACTTCTTAGGGCAATGGGACAAGGGACAAGGTCTGATTGTCTACAAATTTGAGACTTGGCCTTAAGAAGAGATCCCAATGTGGATGTAATGAAATGAATGGTGTAATCCAAGGTGGTGTCTAATATTTTTTAGTAGGAAGGAGATCCATTTGTGAAATTGCTAATGCTAGATTTTCATGGACAGCTAATGCTTTCTGTGTAATATAATACATGACATGTTATTCTGATTTAAGATATCAGATTTCTTTTTAACTTGCGTCTTTATTTTATTAACAAGGCAGGACTTCTAAGGTCAATGAAAGGGCAGTTTTTTGATTCAAAACCTTCCTTAGAGGGTCTGTTGAAGCAAATTAAATGTGTCACAAAATCTTCTTCCAGTTTATCAAATAAATGCTGTGCAGTACTTTCAGTCACAGGATCCTGTGTTTTCACTCAAAAATTTAGACTTGCCACTTGCTTTCTGGATATAAAATATGGGGTTGGTGGATACCCTCAGGTCAATCTGGAACACAATTGTGTTCCATATAAAATTCCCAAGTTAAAGTATGCTGCTGAAATCTCCAGTCACAATGCACTCATGAGATTCCATGGCTGTCTGAGGATTTTAACCCATGTCTTCTGCATTATAATCTGTCACTTTACACCACACTAGCTCTCAAACCACACTGGATCTTGAGTTTACTTTAAACTGACTTATTTATTGCATCTTTCTCCTTCATTTCTATAGAAACGATGAAAAAATATCATGGTTCTGTTCCTGCACAACTAGATAATGAAACAAATATCAACAGGGAACAGACAAAATCTGTTTACAGGAGCACCATCTCTGTCACAGACAGATGGTAAAACTAAATATTACATACCTCGGACACTTGTCTATGTTACCATACTTTGAATGCAAGGCTTGACTACTGAAAGACTGGCTTCGAACCAATTTAGACTTTTTAACTTCTTTGCCTAAGAGTAGAATAATATGAACATTAATGATGATAGGAAGTAAATCTGCATTGCATATTTCTTATGTCTTTTATTATAACAATAAGATTCCATGTTCTCTTCCTCATCGCAATTGGCTGAAAATACTGTAGCGATGTAGTCTGCGGATTTGGTCACAGTGATGAAAAGATTAATACTAGTGGGAAGGAACAACTGCAATGGTGGTCTGGAGAAGCATGAGCGAGTTCTGGCAACATATTTTCACCACTTAGTATAGAGATCAACTATAACTTAATGGGTTAACCACTTACTGTATACTGATACCAGTTCCATAATTTACAGGGCCTGATAATGATTCAAATGAATTTATTTGGACCACTGGTGTCAGGTGCATAGTGAGAAAGCACAAACATTTCAGCAATAGAGAGGAAGGTAAAGAGATCCAAGAAGCAAAATTCATAGGTACAACTGCTTGGAGCTTAACCCTTGAGAGCAGGCTGAGGGCCAAAACTGCATAGGGATGGAATGCTGATTTCCATGAGGGAAATATTCACAGAACTATCAACAGTGAGATAACAAGCAAACTTTCTTCAGCCAGGGAGCATGAAAGATATACATGGGAATTGGAGTATTTTGGGCTGCCTATTAATCACTAGCATTGGGCGGGCGGGAGTTTGGAACCTAGTTATACCTAGAATATCTTTCACAGTTATCACATGACTACCTATCTTGATGTTTTTCTTCCTCTGTTTTCTTATGTTCACTGTGGTATAAACAAGGGTTTTTCTTTAATAAAAAAAGATATTTGTTTCTTACTTGATGAGGTACCTGAAGGATTTCCCGAAACAGACATTGGTATACTTTTAGCCAAAGTTGATGATGTTTTACTGTCTCTACCTAAAACAAAGGTTATTTTAAGTACTGCGCTCAAGATTAACTGGAGCAAATCAAGAAGTGAAGAAAACTAGTGACAGTCCTCTTGAATGTAAGCTATTTATCACTATAATATACTGAAATTTATCAAATAAGATAATATGTTATCCTGGACTAAAGCTGTCACATATCTCATTAACACATCAGTGCCATGCTTTCAACACAGCAGAAACAGGATACATATGTACGTGCTTGCCTAAAGAGATTGCAGAACCATAAACCACCTTTGTTTGCAGATTTCTAAGATATGAGATTTTTACGGGGCAGCTATCTCACATTATATCTTTCCATTCATTATAGCTGACACTTTGAAACACTTATCCATACGTGGCTTTGACTTTACAATTGTCCTGGCGTGATTACTAGCAAAGTGAAAGACTCCTTCCTGGCAAACCATGGTTTCCAAATAAAAGAGAACCAGTCTCATGCCTCCACCCCATTCCTATCCATTCCAACATCTTTCCCCAAACTAAAGTGGTGCCCCGCATAGCGACGATAATCCATGCAGCGCTGCAAAGTGATTTCGTCACTATGCAGAAATAAAAAGCCCATAGGAATGCATTAAAACCCGTTTATGGGCAAAAAACTCACCTTTAAGCGAAAATCCTCCATACGGTGGCCATTTTCGCTGCCTGGTAACCAAGGAATCCGGCCAAAAACACAGTGGGTGGCCATTTTATTTACCCAGCGGCCATTTTTGAACCGCCGATCAGCTGTTGGAAAATCATCGCTATGCGAAACAGGGTACCGATCATCGCAAAGCGATATTTTCCTATCTAATCCATCGCAATGCGATCGCAAAAACCATTGCAAAAAATTCATCGCTATGCGGATTCGTTGTTAAATGAGGCGCCCGTTAAGCGAGGCACCACTGTATCTTGAATTTCACACTACTTTCACATCAATGTAAAGCATATTTAAAGTAAACCAGGGTCTCTTGTAACTGGTTTGTAAGCCCATCTGAGTCTTTTCTTTATATAGCACTAAGGCTTGCATCAGGGTGCATGTAACACAAAACCATAGCAGGAGGTAGTAAAGGAAGAGAGTTGGTGACGGGTTATGAATATGTGTAGAAGTTCTCAAGGTTCCTAATTCAGGATTGGGAAAAAGTAAGGCCACAGAGGACCCAATCGTATTTCATGCTTAGGACATTTTCAATTGCTACCATTTGAGGAAACCTGTTGGTCTCATTTGGTATGGAAAGTTGGAAGAGGTTTCCACTTGATGAGTAACCGAGAATGCAATTTGCACCATTTCCACTTCAATCACAATATACGACTCCATCTCAGCCAAAGTTTTTCATAAGGTCAGGCTGTAAAAGTGTATCCCATTGTGCAAGATATTTCTCATAGTAAAACTGTAGCAGGATGTCATTTACCATCTCCATCCCCAGGAGTTGCGAACACAATATTAATGCAGCTTAGAAACAGTCCTTGCCACCTGCATCTCAACACTCTCCACTCTCCAGAGAAAGAAATTAAGAAAGCTTTGAGAAAAAGGATTAAAAGAACCACTTACGCTTCTTTTCATATAGTTTATCGCCCATAGTGGTAGACCTGCTCTCATTTTGCTGTTTTTCTTTTTCTAGTTGTTCCTATTGTAGAAACAAAAAAATAAATAAAATAAAAATGGTAATGGAAGTCAAACGTTTAGATTTCATGGTGTAGCCAACTGATTAGCAAGTTTCCATAACTAAATCTGCTTAATTATTTATTTTATTTTTATTTTATTAGAGTTCTACCCCGCCCATGTAGACCAAAGGTCTACTCTAGGCGGCAATAGGTTCAATAGGTCATTTTCATCGTTAGATACATCCTTCAAAAAAAAAAGCCAGTAGCAAGTCTGTCTCTAGTAGTACAAAGGAAATTCTTACAATTCAAACTTTGGATTTCGCTCTGAGACGGGCCATATACTTACTTCTTGTTCCCCATAATCAGTTGCTCTACTTGTAGACAGAAAGTTTCAGCACTCCCTCTGAGATTTCTAAAGTAACTTAAACTTGGATTTAAATATTTAGACTGGACCTCTATGGCAAATTATTCAGAACTGTTTTCAAGAGAACTCGCTTATCACATAGGCTAAAAACACAAACTCTGAATGATGAATTTCCCTGGAAAAAAGTCTTGCCTCTGTTGCAAACAAAGCTAGCCCTGCCATGCAACCTCATGAAGGACATGCACCTTGGGGTCAAGAGATGAAGTTAGGAACTGGTATCTCAATGTCCATTTGCATTCCATTACAAGCAGCAAAATATCCTGGTTCATAACTACCTATTAACTGAGACTGCCCTTAGGCAAGCTAGGTTTGTTCCCTTTGAAATATGGGTAGAACAGCGCTGTTTCACCACACAGGGTTGTTGTTTCAAGATAATGTTATTGAGAATGCCCAGAAAATATGATATCCATCATCATGGACACATTTAGTAGATGTAGCTCCTGGTACCCTTTCTCTTGCCAGTTATTTGACATACAGGTACACAAGATAAACTGCATCTGCCAATGTGGAAGTAGGGATTCTTTTGCTTCTTCAGACACTTGGGACTACAATACCTCCAAACCCTTACCATTGGGCATGCTGGCTATCATAGTATATCATAGGTAAAATACATATGTGGAGAATATTTGGAGTGTTTGCTTTTTGACTTTTGCATAAAAAGAATTTGAAATCTCTATTCACAGCCCAGTTGAACCATCCATAAGGTATTCAAAAAGCATATTGTCTAATTAATAAACATACCATTTCCAAAAGTAGGTGTTCTTCCTTTTCCTTTTGCTGATCCAATAGGTCATTTTCATAAAACCTTTTCTGAAACTATTTAAAGGGGAAACCAAACAAATAATCAGAAATCGTGTGGCCAGTTTCAGCTTGCTCTTTCCTGTTATCATCTTGAGAGGTACTTACAGCATCCAAAGACGTTTCCATCCTGTCCAGCTCTAGTACCATCTGTTTTTTTTAAAAAAGACACCATTAATTTGAGGTAATTTCAAATAATTTTAAAAAATCTAAAGCAACTTTGTCTGCTTAGGGGCACTTTGGGAGCAGGCACTGGGCAAGCATGCACCATCTAGGAGCACTGGGGATCTTATAAGCTGTGCACGAGGTGTGTGGCGATTGACTGTCATGATTTGTGAGATTCTGGCTTGTTCTAGGCCATCTCAAAAAAGTCACATCCTGTGGCTCTTACACACACAATATATCATTTCTGCCATTTCCTCACTACATTGAAAAATTATAGTGACTGCATTGTTTTGTGGGAGTCTGACTAATACTTTTGGGATGTATTGCAATGCCATCATAGGTGTTGAAAGCAAAACAATAATGATAACAAACTTCCAGGAAGAACAGTTACTGCCCTGTCATCCAAAGATGAGCAAGTGAGCTATCCAATTCAAATGGAAGAACATAAACATAATTTATAATAGCCTAATGGTTTCACCTCCAGCTCCCTTACATCATCCTCCATAATGCTGCAAATACGTAAGCTATATTTGATGAACCCATAAAGAAATATTTGGGATTTGTAAAGGGCTAATAAATTATGAAGCTGTATTTCCTCTGACAGCCATTGAGACTTACTAGTCAATACCTCCTTGCGCTTATGCTGAGTAGAAAGTTCTACTGGACTAGAAATGCAATATCACAGCACTTGTGAAACCACTGAACAAGTAGGGAGGGACACCTGCCTTCCATTTGCACAATACTAATGTGTGCACAATGGCAGTGCTTGTACAAGTGACACAATCCTCTCTTATGACACTGGCAACATATTCTGTTCAGAGTGACCTCAGTAAGATACTGTCCACTGTAATTTACTCTCAGGGCTAGTTTACATTATCTAATAACATAATATCCAAAATACCGCCATGTTTTCATGTTATTTATTTTATTGTATTTTATTATGTCTCCTGTTGTATTTTATGGTATTTTTGTTTTGCACTTTTATAATTTATTGATGTTGTGTTTTGTGATTCGATTATTGTTACTGTTTAGCTGACATAAACCACCCAGAGTGGCCTTGGCTGCCAGATGGGCAGTATAGAAATCAATCAATCAATCAATCAATCAATCAATCAATCAATCAATCAATCAATCAATCAATCAATCAATCAATCAATCAATCAATCAAATAAACCATAGTGAAGTAAAGACTTGAGTATAACTTGTGCAGTGTTTGGGATGGAGTTTTTAAAAATGTGTTTTGTTTGCTTCATTTATAAGCTGCCTTTCTCCCAGCTAAGGTGAAAAGACCCAAGCATTGGGAACATTGGTGAAGTGGCTTTGCAATGCCCTGCCCCACCATCAACTGGAGCAATGCACTTGCAGCTCAGACCAAATCTGCTACGTATATGCTACCTTTTGGATAGTTTGCTGGTGGTATTAAAGAATGTGGGCGGAGCTGACTGGTGGGCCCATGCTGAGGCACTCACACCACTGCTTCACCACATTTAGCATTCTCCCTGGATTGACTAAATTCACCTTCTCAAACACATGTTGGCATTTTACTAAGCACTCTTGTGCTGTCTCATTTTGATTATCTTCTTGCTCTGTCTCTACATCACCCAAATTTTAAACATCCATTTTCAATTCCATGTCCCCAAGTCCAAGCTTCATAAATTAAATATGGAGAGCTGGTTCGGACAGTCATAGAAACAAACTACAGTACTTGAACAAGCCACAATGTGGCATTGTTTTAAAAAGCATAGAAATAAAAATCACCAGTTGGTGTTACATCTGAACTATGTTTTCTTTTAATTCTAGTTAAGTCAAACCAGGATGAAATCGTAGTTTCTATCCCTAGTCTGTCCCTCAAGTTCAAAAAATTATTTTAATATTTGAACTAGGTCATAAATCACCGTTACAGTTGCAACCTGAAGTGAACTTTTCTAGGAATATGCCCTATTGAAAACAACAAACCTCACTCACAAACATGTAGAGCAGTGGTCCCCAACCTTTTTAGCCCTGCGGACTGGCTGGGGAAGGCGGGGCACCCCCCTGCGCTCATGCGCATGCACAAGCGCAAAGGAGCAGGCACACTCTTGCACACGCACAAAGGAATGGGGAGCGCTCATGCGGGTGCGTGCACACTTGTGCACATGCACAAAGGGTGGCACAGCACTTGTGCGGGCACGCTTGCTCTCATGCACATGTGCAAAGGGCGGTGCAGCACTCGGGTGCTTGTGTGCATGTGCAAAGGAGTTGGGGCGCTCACATGGGTGCAGGCGCAAATGGGCTATGCGGGGAGAGTACGTGCGGGGGTGGGCGTGGGAGGCCTGTCTCCGTGGCCCAGTCCGGCTCAGGACACGGACCGGCACTGGGCCACGGACCAGGGGTTGACGACCTCTGATATAGAGAACTAGGCTGTATGTCATATTTATCTTACTTTGTCAAATTCCCAAGTTTAGTGGAGAATGAAATACAGAAATTTCTGCTGAAGCACAAGGCTATTCTATCTATTACATTCTACAATACCAGTTGCTAGAATTTATAATAAAGGGAGATCTTTTAACCTCACATATTTCATTCATTCATTCGTTTGTTTGTTCAATTTCTATACCACCCATATGGCTACGAGGCCACACTGGGCGGTTCGCAACATGATAAAACAACAAATGACACTTTAAATAAATTCATAACATAATAACAGTATAAAAATCAAATTAAATGTATCAATCAACTTAAACTGAGAAAATGAAAAACTAAGCAAAACACAATATAAAAACAGTTAATAAACACATGGTGGCAAAGAGCAAGAGCAGATTTCAGGAAACACATAACTCTCATCCTCATTTACTAATATAAGGAAAATACTGGCTGAGTATAAAAATAAAAGAAAAAAGAAACCAACTCACATACTTTCTTAACAATGCTGAGGACATCTTTGTCTTTCTCCTCACACAGCAGCTTTCTCACACACAGTTCTAGCTGCTGCAATAAATGTTTGTCTGTGGGAACTTTGAGGGTAGACTTCACTTTTGGCAATAAATAACAAAGCTTCATTCTACAGAGGAAAAAGGAACACTATGAAAAAAAAATGTAAAGCTCCTGTAACAGCTTAAGAAAATCAAACAGTCTACCCTTTATCAACATTCTTTGCATGTCTTCCTCTTGAACTGCACTCTTTCCCCTCCCCACAACCTGCCACCACTTTCCAGGTCAAACTATTTCTATTACTTAAAGTTCTTAAATTACTGCTTCACAAGTCCAGCTCTCTTCCTTATGTCCTGTCTGCCGAAACTGAACATTAGGGCTATGGCATTTCTGTATTATTTCTGCAGTACAGAATCATAGGATAATTGAGTTCGAAAGAGCTTATAAGGCCATCAAGTCCACTTCTGCTTGGTGCAGGAATCCAAATCAAAGCAGATGTGATAGATGGTTGTCAGGCACCATACCATAGACAAATCATAAACAATAAATCCCCTTCACGGATTGCTGCCTTGATGTGGCGAAGGGATTTGAGTAATTCAGAGAAGCTATGGGCTATGCCGTGCAGGGACGCCCAAGACGGAAAGGTCATGGTGGAGAGTTCTGACTAAACACGATCCACCTGGACCGGGTAGGTGGGGCTCGTCAGCCTTGGAAGGCAACTCATCTAGGAGAAGGGAAACTCCAATTTCAAACCTCCACTGCCTTGCAGCTATATTCACTGATGGGAAAGGCTTCAGGAGTAAATCTCGAGGCAAAATCCAGAACCGGAGTCCTGGAGGCAGTTTGTGTCGTTCTGGCAACTCCTGTGACGTCACTGGAACCAGGTGTATTGGCCCTTGCCTTTCCATTGGACTATTTCAGCGATGTGGAGAGGGGACATTTGCTCCTTGGGTAACAGCCTATCCTCCACATTATTCTACCCAGGCTTCGTGCTCTGGAGAGGACACTCATACAGAGCACGTTACCATGGTCTTTCAAGACTGAAGGATGCCTAAGAAACAATAAATGCTGTAAACTGCTGGAGGAATAGACTGTTGTACTAAATATGAAACAATTTCTCCTCACCTGCTGTTCAATGGTGTTTTGGTATACAGTACTGTTTACTGAAAAGCAATAAAGGAACAGCCAAAGTACCTATTAAAATTGTAATATTTGTTGAAACAGGCAAGGTGATGCAATACCTTCCCGCATGTTTCATAGTGACAATAAATCCACTTTGCATGGAAGCCACCCAGTTGTTCACAGCAACTATCCTTGAAACAGATGCTTTATTTCAGAGATGTACAATCAGATCTGGAAATATTTGGAATTCACAAAATAATAGCATAATCAGATAATTCCAAATATATCCGAATCCAAATTCCATGGTTCTGAATGTCTAATATACAAGGTCCTATGTACTCCTAGAGATTAGAAAACAAAAGCTAAATTTATGCTTGTAAAAGAAAGAAGTAAAAGTGAAGCCTATTTCTCAGGCATCCATCCTGGAGTGAATTCTTGAGAAAAGAACAATAATGGGCTCAAGTTAAAGGAAGCCAGGTATCGGTTGAGTATCAGGTAAAACTGATAGAGCGGTATGACAGTGGAACCAGTTACCTCATGAGTTGGTGAGTGCTCCAACACTGGAGGCATTCAAGAAAAACTTAGATAATCACCTGGCAGATATGCTTTGATTGTATTCCTGCATTGAGCAGGAGGTTGGACTTGTAGGCCCCTTCCAACTTCACTTTTCTATGATTCTATGAAACTTAAAAACATTCTGACACCAAGGATATTGGGGGTAGAGGACTCAGTATTTCCTGATCAGGATTGTCATGGATTTTCCATGGAAAGGGGTCTGAGAGCAAAGACTGTCAATGATGTCTGGCTGTAGCAGTAAAATCTCAAAGTAGACACGGAAACAATTTTTCCACATTGGTTCTTTCTAATTGAAAGGTGGGCAAAGCTGCTTATAAATCCCCTGAACAACCGGTGTAAGCCTGCACTGCAGCAGTTTTTTCTGTGTCCTTTTCCAAACCCTCAACTTACATTTACATTCTCTGCTTCTCATTGTATATTGTTGACTTCATATAGTTAGGAATAAGATTTAAGATTAGTAGATTCATAGATTAATACATTATACAGTAAATCAACAGGGAAATATTAAATTAGGCTTAGGCTCCTTTATCAGGCAGGGGAAAATATTTTGTTTTATATAGACAGATAAATTGGTTAATCACATTTTATCTGTGTCTGTGTGTGTGTGATTTTCATTGGAAGGGTTTGTGTTTTGTTGTAGCAGAATCAAATACTTTTCTTTTGGTAGAGTGTGCAGGAAGTACAGTGGATCCTCGACTTACAGAATTAATCCGTATTGGAACTGTGGCCACAGGTCGAAAATTCCGTAGGTCGAGGCTCCATTTCCCATAGGAATGCATTGAAAACTCATTAATCCATAACGGGCTGGAGAAAAAAATCTGGGGCTTCCAAAGCTGCACCCACTGCCCTCTGCCTTCTATTCCCACTGTGCTCTGCCTCTCATCCGCACAGGAGACAAGAGGCCAGTGGGTGTACCTTTCTAAGCCCCGAAAGCCGGCAGCAGGCACGGAGCGGCTTTCGGATGGATCGGCTTTTGGGCGGATCGGCTTTCGGCTTTCAGAACTTAGAAAGGTGCACCCACTGGCATTTCCAGTCCTCGGTACCCTCTGGGCACTGGGGACAGGAGACAAGAGGCCAGTGGGTCCAGCTTTCTAAACCCTGAAAGCCCAAACCTGAGACCAGGTACAGAGCGGCTTTCAGCTTTTCCCGCCTCCCCTCACTCCCAGCTTTGGAACGGAGCGGCTTTCTGATGGATCGGTTTTTGGGCGGATCGGCTTTCGGCTTTCAGAACTTAGAAAGGTGCACCCACTGGCATTTCCAGTCCCTGGTGCCCTCTGGGCACTGGGGACAGGAGACAAGAGGCCAGTGGGTCCAGCTTTCTAAGCCCTGAAAGCCCCAAGCAGGCAGCGGGCGCAGAGCGGCGTTCAGCTTTTCCCACCTCCCCTCACTCTCAGCTTTGGAAGCCGAAAGCCGCCCTGCACCCGGTGTCAGCGTTGGGCTTTCGGGGCTTAGACCTGCAGCCTACGGACTGGAAGTGGGAGGCAGGGAAAGTGCCAAATTTGAATTTGGCACTTTCCTCACCTCACCCTTCTGGTCTGTAGGTCAATTCTCCGGCCACAAGTCGAAGTGAAACTTTGCGGCCGGAGAAGTCTGTAAGTTGAAAAGTTCGTAAGTAGAGCCAAATGTAAGTCGAGACTCCACTGTATGAAATGTTGGCATGGCACTTGGGGAAGGCTGCAGAACTGCTGCCTGCACCCACTGCAGCAACTTCTGTTGAGGAGAGTGGGAAAGGGAGAAGAAAAGGCAATTTTTAGAAATTAAAGATCACCTCTATCCTGCAGACACCAATGATGTCCCCATGATGCAGGAGTTTCCATGGGACATGGTGGGGGGGACTGGAAACCTTTTCCTTCCAAAAAATTGCCACAGCTAGTAACATTATCAGCCTTACGTGGACTAATGTGCAGAAAAGGATTTTAGCCAGGATATTGCATTGCATTACATTACAGAATAGAACAGAAAAAAGCAAGCATACTTATGAAACATACACAAGGCTTCTCATGCAACCTGCAGCACACAACATCAATATAAAAGAATTTGAACAAATCAGTTATTTTTATGCAACTTGTACAGTACCTCACATTTGCTACTGGATCATGTGTAAGCTCAAGGACTGGGAGAAAGAAATATTCACAGAAAAATGATTTGGAAAAGAGCTCTATGATGAATTCACAGGTATCTAAAAAGCGCAGCCTGTTCCAGTAGCTTTTTCCTTGGCCCAATTCTGAAGGGAAAAAAAGCATTTAAAAGAAATCCAAAATCACCATCGATTTTATTCTTGTTGCACAGGTGCAAAGATAATAAAAGGACAATGAAGTATTAACTAATAAATCATTTAAAAGCTAATCTAATGGGATAAGCCTGTTAGTTAGACTGATTTTGAATACTGTTTGGAGCCTTCACAATGCTATGAAAAAGGATAATTACAGCATGCAGTTCATGACAGTTCATTTTTTGGCCAAACAGGTGTTCGGCACTTCCCAGCTTTGCCTCCTTTGGCAGGCGTCCACTCAGAGGCAGTGTCCAGAAAAGGTAGGGCAGGGAAGTGCCAAACACTTCTTCAGCTGGAAAACGAACTCACACAAACTGCCAAACCATCAGTTCATGCCCATCTCTACCATGAATTACATTCCATTTATCCCTCTGTTTTGTCCATGCTGGCTAGATCTGCTGGGAGCTGGAGTCCAACGACATCCAGTGAGCCACATTTTAACCACTTCTGCTATACAGTTACTAAGTTATCTCTTAATACAAGTTCACAAGCCAGCTTCAGACTCTGGTATAGAACTGCAGTTAGAAGAGCTAGCAGGTAGCATGAAATGAAGGTGTGCATCAGCTGTAAGAGTCAACTTGGATCTCACATTTGCTTCTGAAAAAGGCCTGGTTTGGTTCAGATCAATTTAGTGGCCACCTGATTTGACTTAGGTCCCAACATGAAGTTTCACGCCTCCCTGCTAGCTATCTTTGGAAGACAAGAACCTACTACAGCTTTTCTCCCCTTTCAGAAGCAGATTTTTTTGGCCGGCACAAAAGCCCCTTAAAAGGCAATTATACCTGCCAATTTGCAGACAAATAGGGGAATGACATATTTTACTATATGCCTTTGTATTTCAACTGTGTATGCGTGTGGGGTGTTTATTGACAGAATATGAAAAAATAAGTAGCCATCTTTACTCTTCTGAGACAAGTGACTGCCAGGTTTAAGATGAATAGGTACAGGAAGATTTTGCAAGAGTACATTGTTGCATATGATATTTCATATCACATCATAAACATCGTAAACAGCGTTCCGTGTCTAAATCACACTGGCCATGTGACCACGGAAAGATTGTCTTCGGACAAACGCTGGCTCTATGGCTTGAAGAGCGGGATGAGCGCCGCCCCCTAGAGTTGGACACGACTGGACAAAAATTGTCAAGGGCAACCTTTACCTTTACCTTATCACATCATATAGCTGAAATCCTGCCATGTAAATCTACATTGTGCACAAATCTGCATAATTTAAGTTGGAGTGAACTCAGATTCAAGAATCCATTTCCAGTGTGCTACTGCGCATTGAATTGCATAATCAAGTCTGCACTGGTGTATTGCCTGGGTGTACTGTCAGCAAACTTAGGCAGGCATGACTTTACACTATGCCCAGCCTAACAGGACTTCAGCCTATATTATATTACACTGCATTGCATTATACCATAGAATAAAGTAACTATATTTATAAAACAACTTTAATAAATCATTGAGATTTTTCCCAACTTGAAGTAATATTTGGAGAGTATACCTTAGAACTTAAGCATCCCCTTAGATTCCTTGTAGACCACTGCTCTAAAAATAATGGATGCCATAGATACTGCCCAAATGAAAAGGGCAGAAATGATTAATTTGGATAAGTCTAGCGGGTTATATAGAAGGCGATTCTCCACATTTCTGAGCTGGGAGACAGAATTCCCCCCCCCCCCCCCCGGTTTCTCCTTCATGCTCCCCCCTTCAGCAATTGGGATGAAACTGTCATGTATCACAGAGCTGTTCCTAGGAAAGAACCTTTAGGTTTTCAAAATGAGGGCTGCAGTGGTTAGAGTGTTATGATGATTGAAAGCCAGTTCAAAGCTTTGAAAATTGTGCTGCATGGTGATGTTGTAAGAAGTCCCATACCATAGGTCCCATCCTTGTCTTATCCCTTCTCAATTAACCTAGCCATCCTGTGTGTCATGCCCTTCAATATGTCCCCAGCAAGAACAGTCTCGTACAAAAAATCCACCAAGTTTTTGATTGCTTTTTGCTAGATACAGCAGCTAGACAAAGGCAATTCATTTGAAGGATTACTTATGATGCATTGCATGTTTCCTGATGTGGCATGTAGCAAGGATAGTAGACATACCACTCAGACAGAAGACACACGTTATAAAGGATTTTTGAAAACTTTTTTTAAACTCCTGCAATTTTGTTTCAAAGTCATGCATAATAGGTTTTCTTTTGTTTCTGAAACAAAGCAGAAAAGGAACTGGGAAGGTGGTTTATAATTTCATTTGGCAGGTTTGGTTGTTTCAAATATCCCCATCCAGTATAGGGATTTACATTAGTTTTGGCTTGCTCTCAGCCTAAATAGTTCCACAATATCAAAGGTGTAAGAGGGGACTTAAGTTGCACTACTTATTTTTTTTTCCTAAGGGCTACAGAGAATCCAAGAGTTCACTCCACACACCTTTAGAAGATGGACAGCATTATGTTTGCAAGGAACCTATGTGGGTTTTCAGTTTGAGGTGATCACAAGGGGATGACAACTTTAAAAGGACATAATTAATGCCAGGTATGGAACTTGATATAACTTCCCTGCCACTTACCAGAAAATTTACCAGTGTGGGTTTTTTAAAAAAATCATAAAGTGTTTCTCAGTCTTCTCATTTGTATTCCTTTGGCAGATCCACGAGTATAATTCAGGAAGTCGAACTAGTCAGCCATTATTACATTATTTAAATCTCTAAATTATTTATCTGAATTTTTCAGACTTTAAAAGTTGCCCTTTTAACTTCTTAAAAGCAGCAACGATTGCGTAACAAAGAGCTTCTGCCTAAAAATACTGAATCCCAGTAGTAGTGGGACACAAATTGTCTAATGAATCTTTTGTATAAGAACTGTTTTCCTCATAGCAGTGCAGGGCTGGGTCACAACTTGCATATAGAATCAACTTGTACCAATATGAAGGTAGTATTAATACAGGAATGTTTCTTTTACTTTCAACAGGTGTGATTTGGGTTCCATAAATCTCTTCTGCTTGCTCTCTTATCAAGATTACAAGATTGGAATACATGATCATATAAAACTAGTCCATCCAGTGGTCTGTTTCCACTCTGAATGGGAGATGTCCAAGATCATCACAATAGCTCAGGGGTGGGCAAACTGTAGCCAAAGTTGCTCAGCTTTGCTTCAGTGGAAAGTTTAAGTGGCTTCACCTTCTCCTGAAGGTTTGCAAGAGTCTTCTATAGTATATGTTCCCTTTTCCTCTGCCTGGCCCACCTCACCTAGGAATACAAAGCTGCTCCAACTACACTGTGATCATGAGGATGCAATCTTGTTTGCTGCTGTGGGCATTGTGTCTATTTCTCATAGAATACGTTGTTATTGCTATTTGGAACATGTTTTATTTTCTCTTATTTATGCAATATATATAATGCTATCGCAATGTTGTTGTTCTTTAAGGTGCCATAGAGTTATTTAGTAAAGCTTGGCATATATTGTGAGATATTTTGATTCATATATGAGTTGATGCTCATTCATGTGTAAATATTTATATTTTGTCAGTCTTGAGATACTATTTGAAATGTTGGCATATTATGCAAACTTTACTGGTGTTGTGAGTTGCTTAGAGCATGGTTCAACATGGAAAAATGGCCTATAAATAAACTGAGAAAGAGGAGGCAAGGGAAACTTGTTAATGTATCTGGAGGCCCAAGGTTGGGGACCACTGGCTTAGAGCATGGTTCAACATGGAAAAATGGCCCACTACTTATTTTTTTTTGAGGAGGCAAGGGAAACTTGTTAATGTAAAGTCTTTGCTCCACTTCAGACGCATGAACAATTCCTGCATACACAAGTCTAAGCATAGTTTCCTTTCCCTTCTCTAAAATCCCACTGCTGTCCTTAGGATAATAAAATAAAATCAGTGCTTACGTTCTATCAGTTTCTGGATGACTTCATGCCTCTGCTCTTGCTTACGATTGTAACGCAAGTACACACACAAGGTTCGTGCAGCTGCTTTTTGAACTGGTAAGACATTCTTCAGAAAGAGAAAAATAATACAATAAGCTTACAATACCCCTATAAATACTGGAGGATACATGTTGTTAATGAAAAGCATGAAGGAAAAATAATGACTGCTGGGAAAGGAGACACCAAAAGAGACTAAATTATTGATCACCCAGTTTCTGAAAGGTGAAAAGATGAATTGATATTGAATTGGATCGCATCCCCTCCATAAATATAGAAAACCTCTAATCCTTCATTGTGAAAGCACAAAGATGAAATTCTTACAAAGAGATATGCAATAGCTGGTAGCAAATGTTCAAAGGGACACTGTGCTGTTCAATATTTTTCTGAACATGTTAAATTCTGCAGCTTGGTTTAACAGCCTTTATTTTACTCATATGAGACAATAAGGCACATTTTTTCCTAAAGGGAGACAATTCCAGCGGAAGGGGAATGCAGTAAGTCACTGAAGGTTTCTGTTTTACCAATGAAACATACAGGAGGAAATCCAATTTATCTATAAGCAAACATGTAATGTACCCAATCACTGGAGTGTACAGAGTGTACAGAGGTAGAGAAAGTGTTTTTGAATCTCTAATTCTATATCAGTCAATTGATATGTGCCTTTGATGCCATGATCCTAAACATACATAGGCTGTACTGCCCAAAAGACAAGGAGGAACCTTCAGTGGAGGACTGTTTAATAAAATTACAGGAACTAATATTAAGGGACAAACTAACAGACTCATTGAAAGGAAAGAGTAGAACGGAGCACAAATCTAAATGGGAAAAAGTAAAGAATTATCTTAAAGAGAAATGGAAGAAAGATTCCAAACCTGTTTCAAGTGATTTAGGCTTAAATTAGAAACAGAACTGCTCTCAACAGAAATAAAAACAAAGTAAAGCAGATTGTTAATATGGATATAAAATAAGAATTAAGAAAGGTATTATTAAAATTACGAAGGAAATAAATGTTTGGTGGAAAATAAGGAAGTAAAAATTTTAAAGACTTACTGTTTTGCGAAAGAGATAATAAAAAGTTATTTTGGCTATGTGCTAATATCGTGATAATTATTTACTTATTTTTATCATTTCTTTTTTAAATGCAATAAATTAAAAGTTAAAAAAATACATAGGTTATACTGCTAAATGACAGATTGAGGTGTAAAGCTAAGGGAACATTAAAACAAAGGACAATCTTTCACTCTGTTTTTTTTCTTTTTGTCTCAGAGACACTATTAGAGCCCACAAAAGAGTTGTCATTGACATTCTTCTTCACTTTTAATTTTATTTCACATGTCATGCACTTAGATACCTACATCTAATAAGAAATATGACAATTTTCAATGTGGAAGAAAGTTCCTCTAGCATACTCTATACTGTAAGAATATATATTTCAGAAATCTTTGTGACTTTCTATATTCTATGACAGGCCAGAAATATGCCTTTTCACATCTGTAAAGAGAAATGGCTCATGCTTTCAGTTTATTTTGAAGAGGACCAAAAAAGTATAAGAGCTCTTTCTCAGACAATAGATGCAAAACAGACACATACTGTATTCAGTACAACTACTGAAGGAATTTTGAAGCTGCTTTGAGTGGCAATACCCTTCTAAAACAACATACATATGTAAGAAAAATAAGTGTAAACGATATCAATAATTAGACAATACCAGGAGAAAAAAGTGAACTTAGAAAGGAGTATACAACAACTCCATCAACATTCAATTCTATGCCACTAGCCAGAATAGCTCATTTCCCCACCCAGGTAACCTGGACTTGGCCTGGCTTAAATTTCACTTTGTGCTCCTTCTCTCATTTGATGGGCCTGGAGCACAATAAAAACCATGAATCAGCAGTGTATCTCAGCAGAGCTTGGTGAGAACAAATAATTCAAGTAAAATATTAGTCTTCCTAATGCCCTTTGTTCACTGACTTCAAAGCTAATCCAGATGCTAGGAACACAGTTGGGTTTAGGTCTCATTGAAGTAATAAAATGTGTTCCTGGCAGTAACACTTTAGACTATGCATGGCAGTTTACATAACCAAATGGTCCTGAACAACTTGTTCATAAAAAAACTACACACTGAAGAGTGTGATTTTAGCTTAACAACATAGATTCATTCAATCCATCACAGATTTTACTTTTAAAAAATAATGCAATCATAAATAATGGAGAGTCATTTATTTAGCAGCTTAAAAACTACCAAGTTTTATTTGGCATAATCTATTATGGACTGTAGCACATTTCTTCAGATGTTCAAATTAATCCAGCTATAAGAACCCAAACCTTTGGGAGAAAATGGCAGAGCTCAGATATGGATTTAATGGGAAATGTCGCTTGCAGCAATCCCATTTTTAAAAGGATTAAAAATAGTCTGAGATACTTGAAACAGTAAGTGAAAAAGGAAAAAGGATCCCAGAAACTCACGTTTGTCATAATGATTGTCAACATTCTGTGTAAAAAGCGATAATAAATCTGATCACTTGAGATGACATGAGGCAGGCAAGCATATTTTTGTAATAGCTTCTCATGAGTCCTCCATTTTAAAGAGGTTGCTGCTCTCTGTTCTGCTCTAGTCAGTGCTGGAATTAACTCTGGGAAATTCAGTAACTGATCAAAAGAAAAAAAGAAATGCCAATTATTTATGGTATATACTGTATATTTTTTTAGGCTGCCTTTTAGGAGAGCCTTCACAAGCTTATATATACAATCAAAAAAGAATATACCAGTCACTTTCATACAAAACTTATGGAATGAAAGCTTAGAGATGTAGGTGTCAATCACAGCATAACATTTCCATAGCTGTTCTACAGAACAAGTCATATAAAAGCACTACTAAGGAGATAAGCAGGTTGGAACAAAGACATTCTGAAAAATTACTTGAAAGCTTTCACTATGGGACTATACATAGTTTATCTGGGAATTCTGTAACTCTGGGGGCCCTCACCCAGAAAGCCTAAACCTCTTGTGTGTCAATATAATTGATCTCATTGACAAGCAAACAAGTCACACTGATCTTAACATATGAAAAGGATCATATATAGGTGAAGACAGTCGTGAGATAGTCTCTCTCTTAGGCTTCTATAATTTCATACCAAAACAATAAACTGAGCCAGAAATGCACCAGTAGTCAGTTCCGTGTAGTATAACATTAGTGTTACATGTTCCAAGATCCTAACCAAAAATATCCAGGCATCCTCATTTAGTATCTACCAAAGTTTCCAAACTGTCTTCAAAGGCATATAAAATGCATTAAGCAATCAAGCTAGGATTTAACTAGTGCATGAATAATTAGGTAAGAATGCAGCTGATAAACAGAAAGTGGTAACTATCAGAGACAACCATATCCCAAACAGGAAACCTGATCCTTTCCAGTTGTGCAAGATGACGCGGGAGTGGGCTGACAAAAATAAGATTTTTGGCTCATGTGGAGAGGCCGGATACACCAGCTCCTCCTTCAAACTTTCACACGTTGAAAGTGACTAGAGGAGGCAAAGCTACCATGTTCCCCTCATTGTGTATGGACCACCTTTTTTCCTTTATTCTTTCTGCTTTCTTTTTTTCCTCTCCTCTTGTTTCCATCCAGAGGCCAGGGAAGAGAAAGCTTGCAATTGTCAGAGCTCTGAACCAATCACTTGCAGAGAACTACCCCCTCTTGGCACATATGCCAAAGACTATGCAGCAAGAAAGCAGTCCCAAAGCAGAACTTTCTGAAATTGATTCTAAAACTATGCCTCCCAAGCCCAGGTTAAGCATCCCAGGTGGACACCATGTCCACGGTGTGGTTGGTGAACTCCCCCAAGACAATCAGGCTTCAGGTTCTCAACACCATCTCCAGGCCTGTGCCAGCTAGTTTTGCAGGACTGTTAAGCAATGGGACAGAAGGCACACCAACATTGTTTCTATCCTGTTCCTTGCAACAGTTGTGGATTAAAGATGAAGAACAACAGGACCCTTCCTCAAGTTTGGTATGATCCTATAAGTGATACTTAGATGGAGAGGTTTATACCCGCTCCTCCACCAACTAGCAATCAATCACAGAAGTAAGATCAGGGTCTTCCTGAGTGAGACAACTGATAGTAAATACCTTCCCATTAACAGATCCGGGTGTCCCTAACAGCGCCTTCAGTCACATGGGAGCTGAAGACAAGTCTTCATTATCTGGAAAAGGAGACAGTGAAAAAAATGTCTATGCCTACCTTTATTCCCCTTCCCAAAGACATCCTGGCATGTATAAACCTGCCCAATCTAAGAGAGCAGTGTTATTCTGAAACTAAAAAATTAAGTTGCTCCAAGCAACTTGCAACAGCAAAAAAAAATTGTAATACCATCTCCCATTCTGACAGCAGGTGTAAATACACGCGACCCAGTTTCGCTCTCTTCCTGCCCCCCCCACATCTTTTGCACTGATGCAAACAAAATCTTCTCATCAAGCCACACACTGTCTTCTTGGCATTCCCTGTTCCTGTCCCTCATCAACTTCTGCTGCGATATCCGAATAAGGGATTGTAGTCAAAAATAAAAATAAGACACATTTCCTGTCTGTCGAAAAGAGTCTGAGATGGGCATGGGGATCCTATTGATCTCAACCAAATTCTTAAACTTTCTCATTTCCAAAAATAGGTTAGATGTGTATATGTGACACTTTGGACACGTCTCCTGAGTACCAGATGTAGCACCACCTTAATATTCATCTTTCTGGTTGAAGGTACTTAAGTGTTGCTAGTCAGAACTCCAAGAGAAATGCACCAGAAGACTGTTTTACCAGTCAGAAGACAATTACCCCGTCACAGTTGTATCCTTACCTTGCTCCCTGATCCACTGCTTTCCCCTCCAGTAGACAACAGTTCAAGGATTTCAGGAAGGTGACCTATTAATGCATCTAACACCTAGTTAGAGAAATGATGGGTCATTCTAATTTCAAATATCCACTGAAATAGTTTTCATTACATTGATGTGATAATTATGTACCATTAACTTTCTTTAGTTGTTTTTTTTTTACTTCTCTATGGAACTATGGAATTAGGATATCATCCTGATCTAAAACCCTGCTGAGAACAGGATCGGTGGTGGCAGGTGATGCACTTCACTACTTAAGGTGGGGAAGTTAGAAAAATTCCACCCATATATGTAACAACCCAGAGTCAAGGCAACCACACTTCGTGCTGTTCAAACATACAGTTGCTGAGGCTCTTCTTCTTCCTACAGGTATGTTCAGAAATTTGCCTCTATCCTAAATTGCCCACAATGGCAGCGAGAAGTTTGAAGTAGCAAACTTGACCCTTCAGACACCACTGCACAGAATGTCTTATCCATCATGTTCTCTACCTTTGCTGGAAAAATCTCCCAAATATCAACTCCAAGTGACATGTTCTATTCAACAGCTGCACATACCATTCTTAAATGCATAACCTAAATCTCCCTTGTCCCAACAAAAACCTATCTTCTATGTCATTCATTAGAGAAGACTGAGAGGAAACATGATGGTATTCCACTTCTATAATTCTATGTTCTCTACCTCGCAGCACATTTTAAAGTATTAAGAAATCATCAGCTTGCCCCCTCAAAAACATTTTTCTAGTCTAAACATGCTGAGATCATCCAGCTTGTACCCACATAACTTGCTATCTACAGGCTCACTTTGTACATACATTAAACAGACTGCTTAATCAAATTGGTAGTGCTAACCAGAGACCCATTGTTAGGTGATGACAAACTGTATGTTTTTGTTTTTTGTTCCACAACTGGCAGTTTTTATTCTATTTTTGTTCCATTTTGGTTTTTTTCTGGTCTGTAAATCGATTCTCCGGCTGCAAGTCGAATCTAAATTTTGCAGCCAGAGAAGTCTGTAACTCGAAAAGTCTGTAAGTTGAGCCATCTGTAAGTCGAGGGTCCACTGTACATTAAACAGACTGCTTAATCGAATTGGTAGTGCTAACCAGAGACCCATTGTTAGGTGATGACAAACTGTATGTTTTTGTTTTTTGTTTTAGCCTAAGAATATGCAAACCTGCCTTCCTTTGTGTTAAGTTCAAGCCATCAACAATGGCATTGACAGACACTGAAACCATCCAGTTTGACTAAAGTTTGCTATCAGTTTACTAATACCCCCCAGGAGGTATTCTCTGGCACTTTTAGAGGAAGAAAGTGCCAGATGACTCATCATCCTTTGGGTCATAATAAAGTGACCAATCTGAAACACACTCCCTATCATGTGTGAAGCTACATTTCAGCCAGAACTCTGATTTTCCAGGATTCTCTTTTGCATGGAGTTTCTCTTCTTCAAAACTGTTACTTTTTACATAAGCAAAGCAATAACAGGAGATGGGAATAGCAGACTCCATTCCTCATATGTTGATTCAACCTCTTTTTGACACACCTAAAGAGGGTTTTTGTGTCTAAGAATTTAGGAAGCTGCCTCTACTGGGTCAGACCATTATAATACCTATCCCACTATTGCCAACTCTGGCTGACAGAAACTCTCCTAGATTTCAGGCAGGATTGTTTGCTAGCTGGATATCTCCAGTATTTCCTAGTCTCCCATCCAAGTATTAACCAGGCCTGACCATGCTTAATTTCCACAAACAAACAGAATTGGGAATATGTAGTAAAGTAAGACTATAGGTTGGGTAAACTGTGTGTTAGCTCATTTGGTTCCACATTTTCAGTCTTTCTGGAACAGTGACATGTAGGGTTAAGTAAAAAAAGATTTCTATAATCTTTTTCATATAAATCTTTATTGTGTTCACTATGACTAGACCATGATACAAGCAGAAATGATTCATCACACCAAACACGATTTACTTTTTCTTGCTATAGTATCATTTAGGATAATTGTAAATGATCTTAGTGTAAGCAAAAAAAAAGGTTATTACCTCTAGTGATTCATCTTGTAATAGGGCTACCAATTCTTTGTGTATTACATACACATCAGTATTTAAAAGCTTAGCAACCTGAAAAATAACAAACCAACAAAACATGGTCATTAGTCCTTTTAATCCGGTTATGTTTATTTTCCAACAAGACTTGTATAGCCAAACAGGAAACACAGTAGTAGTGAACTAGATCTCCATCATTTTTCAAGGCCACAAAGGGCCATGCCTATACTTCACTACTTCACAGGGTCAGGCTGCTAGAAGCAGAGGGGAAAAATACATCCTAGCTGCTGCATACATTAAAATTGTGCTCTTGCAGGCTGAGTTGGTAATTAGATAGTTTTTATACACCAGATATCCTCTGCGAAGTCTCTCAGACATTCCTCTGCCCTGTAATTCCAGCTAAATAGACTGATACAATTGACAGTAAGGTAAAGGTTCCAGTCGTGTTCGACTCTAGGGGGCGGTGCTCATCCCCGTTTCCAAGCCATAGAGCCAGTGTTTTGTCCGAAGACAATCTTCTGTGGTCACATGGCCAGTGCGACTTAGACACGGAACACTGTTACCTTCCCACCTATTTATCTACTTGCATTTGCATGCTTTTGAACTGCTAGGTTGGAAGGAGCTGGGACAACCGACGGGTGCTCACTCCGTCACGTGGATTCAATCTTACGACTGCTGGTCTTCTGACTCTGCAGCACAGGCTTTTGCGGTTTAGACCACAGCGCCATCACGTCCCTCACAAATGACAGTAGTAGTATTAAATATGATTCTGTTGTGAGGCCATGTCCCATATTGACTGGCTGGGTTCAAAGAGATACCTAATCTTGTTAAGAGAAACAATAATCCTAGAACCTTGAAAGAGGTTGCTGTACAGCCAATCCAAAAGTAATCTCTTTGGACCCTAATGATTATACTATTAAATGATTATACTATCTTCAGTCTGGGATCTTTTTTATACAATGCATGTGTTTTTCAGCTGAGATATAGCCCATCCCCTAAATACATAGATTGTATCTGCATAAGTTAAGTGGTGTCCCACCAAAGGGTGTTATAACATAATGCACAAAAGCTATACATTTTTGATAAACATCTGAATAGTTTTGAAAAGTAATTCAGATGAATGCTTCAAATTACTGTGCATCAATTTAAAATGTTAGATTCTTCAGTTCTCTGTAAGTTAGGCAAAAGCAGTACTTAGTGTTCCATTACAACCTCCTCTCACATCTAGGTTAATTTGCTTGATTTCCCTTGCCCACAGTCGTATAATTTTATTTTTATTTTTTAGAATTCTGTCTGTGGAGAAACAAAACTTCTGGAAAATTCCAGGCTTCTGTGGAGAAATGCACTAGGTGGAGCAATTGAGAGCTCTTCTGAAGACCCTCCGACCCAACTGCATATCCTTGGAGGTTAAGGATGTCTTCCACCAAGTAGTTGAAGATGGTACAGCAGGATATGGGAACTTAAATTAATTAAAATTATTTATTCCATTTTAAAGTCTAAAAAATTCTTAGAGGCATGCTCCTGGGATCTCTTGGTATCTATGCTAAGTTTGAGGCATCTCTGTTTCATGGTCAAGAGGCCATGCTAAAGGCAGATGCACACATGTACTAGATTGGATTATCATCTTGCAGTTAATGAGATATTTGATTTAGAGAGCATGCATTAAATACTTGAGCTTAGTATTTGCATTATTCTGAGTACAGTGGGGTCTTGACTTACGAACGACCCTACTTGCGAACAATTCAACTTACGAACCCGCCCTATAGGGGAAATAAGGACTCGACATACGAGCTTCCCTCGAGTTACGAACAGGAAAAAAAGTGCTCCCTCCCTCTCCTTAGAGGCTTCTGGAGGGGAAAAAAGGGTCAGAAACTTAAAAATAAATAAAAGAAAGTCACTTACCAGGCCTTGGTAGCCCCCAAACAGCAGGAAAAAGAACAGGAAACAGCTAAAAGCCCACACCAGAAGGGAGCCTGGCAGCCATTTTGTGCTTTCCCCCCCCGCTC